TTGACTTCAGGGGAATTTTTTCACCCTGGTGCAGTGCTTGCTTGTCAAGGCAGGCAGGCCTTGTGCGGCTGAGGCAATCCAATTGTAAGCTGAAAGTTGCTCAGAATATTTTGAATTACGGTTATACAAAAAAGGGAGGTCATAACATAAGTTAGCGTGGAAAGTCTGATTTTTCAGAGCAATTCCCCACCATCCGGACCGTGTCTGACGACAGAGGTTGCATAGCTCGTGTCAATTTTGTTTATTTTAATATTCAGCTAAGTTTTCATCATCTATGAGTTTTACTCATAATCAATTTTGCAAAATTACTTTTTAAAAATATATAACATTATTTTAAAACATAGAAAACATTAATAAGTAAAATAATTAAAACCTATTATCCTTATATATTATCCTTCGCCCATCATTTATCATATTTTTAAGTAATTATAATTTTTATATTTATGGAGTTATATTCCATTATTTTAATATCTTTCTACTCTAAATAAAAAATGATAAATTTTATCATTACAGGTTTTTTCTTTATTTAGAATAATTTACTGATTATAGAGTCCTAAATTTTGATTTACTGATCAAATAATATGAACATTTTTATTTTTTTAATATACACTGCTCATTACTTTCTGAAAGGGTTGTGTCAGTTGATTTATCACCATGCTATATAAATTACCAGCAGTATATGAAAGTAGCATTTTCAGCACATCTTCATTTTTGCAGTTTATCTAGAGATAAAAATGTGATCTTAATTGTTTTAACATATGCTTTGGTTTTTGTGTGTTTGAACTTTTTTCCAGACATTTGTTTACTTCTTTCCTCCTTTTTTACTCTTTAACCTCTTCATATCTTTTGGACATTTATCTGTTGCATAGAATTTTTCTTACAGATCTGTATGATCTTACCAAATTAAAAAAAAAAGATGGATCTAAAACTTTGTATCACTTCACCATAGATAAATGTTTATATATAGGCATCTTTCTTCAGCTTTATCAGATACCTTTTCTGTTTTGTTAAATGTCTTTTTTACCCTAGTAACACTTTCCAAATAGAAATTTTTGCATTTTACATGATAAAATTTGATTCCACCCACTTCTAAAGTAGAAAATCCTCTTCCTCATCACAAATTTACGTAAACTGATTTTTCATTTTTAAATATTTTCCTAGCTGGAATTGTGATGAAAAGAAATAGATTAAATCAGTAATAAAATTGTTGCAATTTCCCGTTTCCCTCCACATTTCCCCTCTTTATCCCATGCAGCCTTCAGAAAAACATGTAAAAAGAATGTTCTAACTCATTTGCATCTGGCATTAATTAGTAAAATGCATATTTCTCCCCTTCCACTTCTCATAACTCATTTGGGGTTATTGGATGATACTGTATCTATTACTGTAATATGTTAAAAGTTACCTAATACTTCAAAATGTTCTTGCATAGGACCTACAGACCCTGTTCACTAATAAGTGGCAGATTCCCAAGCTAGAATAACATATAGGTATCACATAACTCCTTAGAGTGAACATTATTATCTTGCATTTCAGATTTCAGAATTGCTTCTTTAATGTTACTTATATGCATATACCTAATATTTATTCAAAAAAATAACTTGGGATCAAAATCATTTTTCCGAAATAATATATTCCGAAATACCAAAAGAATCACCCTGATATAGCTAAACAGAATCTTGATTTAGGAGAGAGAGGCTGCAATGTAGATGTCTAGCATCATAACAATTTAGTTCATGTGTACCATCTATCTAGTCTCAATTTTTTTCTTTTATGCCATATCTCAAAAAGTATTTCAAGTGGAGACTTTTCTTTGAAGTGAAAGTACAAAGTACATACCTATTAAACACAGTTTTGGATGTTTGCTTAAAGTGTGCGTATGTGTGTGCACTGTGCATCTAGTACATATGTGATTCACATTAACTTCAAATGTGAACCTCATGTTCTTTTCCAAGCTGTAATACAACTCTACTATTTTTTTCTTTATTTCAATGTTTGAGATCTAAGAATCTGTGGATATTTAGCCATTGCATAGAATTACTTCTCTGTTTTACATTTTTTTAATCAGCACAAAAATTTGTCAGCAAGGCAAAAAATTAGAAACCACAGATTTACTTCCATGGTTTTGTCTCTTATGTACATTTCATTACCAAAATAGGACAATTAAAAATTGTTACTTTCAGATATTTTGTTTCACCAAACCCATCCCAAGAATAAAAAACCTAGGCATTCTTTTAGTCCTACTTCGAACAACAATCACATTTAAAAGCAAATTTTCAGAGGGTTGTAACTGGTCACTATGCAAATTCAATATGTTTATTACAAAACTTACTAGAAGGCAGATGTTTGAATTGGTGGAGCTTCTAAATAATTAGCTTTAAATAGGAAAACCTTTTAACACTTTAGTCTTACTTGAGTTAATTTCCACAGTATCCAGGCTAGCAACTCAGTCACTTCCTGTCGCTGCTCTTTGTAAAGTTGTTTTGGTGTGTGCTCCAGTACATGAGCACACTGGTTAGCACTTGAGTGTTGACAACTTGTGAATTCCAAGGGGGCAGGATAAGCACAGCAGCAGTTAACCTGGCAGCTGTGGAAAAGAGTGCCTGTAAAGTAGAGCAGCCTCAAAATCAAGCTGCAATTGAATGACCTTCAGTCCCAAAGTGTCTACAGATATGGAAAAGGGAGGAGGGAGCAGGAAGGAAAGAAAACTGTGGCACATCAGAAGAGGATGGAGAAAGAGAATATGACTAGGAAGGAATGTATGTGCCCTACTGATTTCTTCACAAAGGCAAAAAAAGTTATACATCTGTCTTCTTGACCTATGTCTCAGATTTTCAGAAATCAGGAAGACCCTGTCAAGTATATCATCAATGTAAAATCGTACCACAGCATGAAAAATCTTCTTTAGCAATACCTGCCATATTTGGAATTCGGAAGTCATGCAGCAACTTCAAAACTTTGTGATCCATATCACTTGGATTCTTGGTCTGAAGACCATGGTTTCTACTGCTCACCTCATACTATAAGGTTTTACCATCACTCTCTCAAACTCCATTTCCAAGACAGAAGCATTTGAACGCTGGGCATTAGCATGCAGCAGGAATAGAGAACATCAGAATTGTCAGCATATACTGACAATGAAAAGTCTCTATAATCTTTTAGCTGTTCAAACTCATTTATATACTTGTTGCTCCACTGCACTTAATAAATGTCCTAAGATTTCCTTCTAACATTGTAACTATCATCACACCAAAACCACTCATCCCTCCCTAAAGGAAATAATTAGAAATGTTGTCATTGACTCCTTTAGTCCTAGATCTTGGTTATATCCAGTCACTCTGGTTTTTTTACAATCCAATCTCAATAGCTCTTCGCCCGGGTCCTTCCCTGGTGGTGCAACAGGTTTAAACACAGTACCATGAAACTAGTGACATCTGTTTCAGCATAAGTTCGATCGCCAGCCAGCGAGTTAGATCTCCATGGCACAGCAGACCTCTGCTATCTTACCGATTGCTCCCCTCAACAGTGTTAATCTACCTATTCTTCTCCCACTCTGTCTCTGGTGAATCTCTCACTGCCCCTGCACCTCTCTGGCATGTACCCCAGCTCTGTATGCATAAATAAATAAATCATTTAAAAGAAACTCTCTTAGCCAGTGGACTAAATCAAAAGTTTGCCCATAACCAAGAGCTCCCCATTTAATAGTGGAGGATAGGAATAAGAAAGAAAAAAGTATTTAAAATACATAGAACGTATTAGTAAAAATATTCTAGTGAATATACAAAGTAGTAAGGCAGCTAGGATAGAGGCTACCGTATTTGTTTCTGCAACTAATCAAGGAGCAAATAGAAATTGTGATTATTTTCTCTGCAACCCATCATCTGTATACTTACTTCAACCATTCCCTAAGCTATGTAAGATTCTTCATCCAATACAATAACCACAACCCACATTCCTGAAACATTAGAAGTTGGGAT